AATTAATACTGCGATGAAACTAAGAATACTTCTTTTACTCACCATAGTCTCTTTGTATAACTGTTCCTAGTTTTACATTACCAGTGAACTTGCACAACACACTAGCAAATGTTTGTAGTAAACTATACTTGCTTTCAATAGCTACTATAATGGCAGCTAACAGGACTTCACGTTGATTAGGAACAGAGGGACTAGCTGATACCACACTAGCCAATACTTGTCCTGTTATGACACCCTCTCTATTAAGCAACCTAGCTACACTGACAGGATCAGAGAGAGACTGAGAGAGGAGTGGATGATGAGTGTTGAATATATCAATAGCCTTAGCTTTACGTTCTATAGAATACACACACACTCTATACTAATACAATCAGTGATATTAACTTACTCTCTTGATCTAACTTGTCAGCTGCAGCATTCTCATTCATAGATTTAAGAGCATCTGACAGTGAGTCAAAGGTAGCTCCTCCTTTACTGTCAACATTATCAGCTCTGGACAACCACTGGGAGAGGCATTCAAGTAAGCATCTTGATACATCACTAGGATGATTCCTTTCAATGACGTCCAGTGTGTTCTTGTGTAGTCCTAGTGTCAGTCCCAGCTCATGCCATCTTGTCTGAGGGAAACCACATCTCTTCAACAGATTAAGTACATCAATAAGTTGATCTAAAACCATATTCAATGATACATAGATAGTTAATGAACATTACCAATAGTCAAAGGAGAAGAGAAGAGACTCAGAGAAGAAGAACAAGAACTGGTTTTAGTTGCCATTGATCAAAGAACAAGCTAACCGGATGCAAACTTTGCAAAGGAATGACAAGGGAGGGGCTGGTTTTATGATGGAGTTACTAATGACAGCAAAATAACAGATGAGGTAGTTTAAATGTACAGTACATGTAATGTACATCAAAAGTAAATATGGACATGTAATCCTTTAGTCTCGCTGGCCAGACCATTCCTTTATCTTAATCCTTTATCTCCATGTCTCTCACTATTTAGAGTGTTGATAGAAAATGTGTTTCATTTTACTTTAGCTTGTCAGGTTCGTATTTACCCATGTATACATGTAAATGCAATCAAAATACATTTTGATTGCATTTACATGGAATTTACAAGTGAATGCCCTCATTGCCTGCTCCATGTTATAAGATGTACCACCAGCCTGACTATAAAAGTGGTGTACTGATTCTGAGCTGGACATTATAATCATTATTTGAAAATAATACACAATAATAATTATTATATTCCTGTTGTTATTGTTGT